TTTTTGGATGCTATTCGTCCTCTCCCCGTTGTAATTAGCCTTCGAGCCATCATACTCGATCGACCACCAGGGCACCCGCCATTACCTCCAGGTAGGCAGAAACCCACGACCACCAACCTTCATCGAACATTCAGGGATAGTAAAGAGAGAGAGAGGGAGGGAGGATGCAAAATCTCAGATTGGAACATATACACGAAACCAACCACACCTCCACCATTTCACATTCATTCCTCTCTCCTCCTAACAATGCAAACAACGTATACATCTGCCTCCCCTCTCTACCACCACCATACACACACACACCCAAGGAAGCCGTCATGCAAGCACAAAAAGAATTTCGTTAACACAATTGTTTCCCTGCATATTCCAGACGGACAAAACCATTGAGATCGTAATCATTTCAGGGCAGTCATAACCCCTCCCTGCTATGGGAGAAGCACAAGAGGAGAGGGGGGAAGGGGTGGGGAATGGCTGGCAACAGACAGGAGGTGAGCACATGGAAAGAGGAAAAGGAAGGAAGAACCGGGCAGGGACGGGGGGCGGGGCGGGGCTAAAAATAAAACAACGAAAAAATAAAATAAAAAGAAAAGAATAAGAATACAAAAAGAACTTGTAAAAAGAAGGAATGGAAAGAATGGAAAGAATGAAAAAAAAAAGAAAACGAAAACCGAACGGGCAGGAAATGGACAAAAAAAGAACTCAGATAAATCTACAGAATTTTTTTTTTTAAAGTAGAAAAATGACATGAAAATTTTTAAAATTTAAAATTTAAAATTTTGAAAGAACATGGCAAAATTTTATTAAAAAACGAAAAACGAAAAAAAGAAACGAGTAAAAATACGAAAAGAATTTTTTTTTAAAAGAAAGAATTAAGAAAATGCGAAATGGAGGAAATGAAAAATCAACGGGCAGGAAATGAACAAAAAAAGAGCTCAGATAAATCTACAGAAAATGAAAAAAAAAAAGGTACAAAAATGAAAAGAAACACAAAACAGGAACAATCTTGTTGGATGATCCAATGCAAAGGACAAGAAAGGAAAATTTGGAAAACACAAACTGCATATTATAAAGAAATCTATTCACACACACAAATTCAGGATTTTACTAATATGTTCACACASGGSRGGGGGGGGGGGGGGGGGAGAAGGGGAAMATCAATMAACCCATGAAAGAGAAGCGCAAAAATGTGGTGACATTTAAAATAAAWAAAWAAAAAAGAAGAAAAGAAATGCTGTGACATAACTGACATCCAGATACATCATCAAACAGAATACGACGATATCGATATATATATAATATATCGTCACAATATATATATATAAGCTGCAGATATCTCCATGCTGATTTACAATATTTTACATTGAAAAAAATAATGTGTATAAATTGTATGATATAAATCATATAAATAATAAAATTTTCAATAGATATAAATCAGCATATAAAAACCTGCAGCTTTTTTTTTTTGCGTGGAAGAGAGGGCATATATATTCTCATCGTGACAACAAAGAAAAAAAGAAACAGCAGAGGGAGCTCATGTGTATATAGAATATTATTATACATTATAATTTTTTCAATAGATATAAATCAGCATGCAAAACCCTGCAGCTTTTTTTTGCATGGAAGAGAGTGCGTATATATTCTCATTGTGCCAAAAAAAAAAAAAAACGCAGGGGAAGCTCTGCAGCTTTATACCTTTGAAAACATTCATGTGTATTACTATTATATACATAATACTTTTCAGCATGGAAAAATCTGCAGCTTTTTTGTTTGCATGGGACAGAGAGCGTATATATTCTCAAAAAAAAAAAAAAACAGCAGGGAACCTCTGCAGTTTTATTCCCCAACATATCGTTCCCTTTTCGAGCATATGATCCATTGCATGTAGACATGCGTACCCTTTTCTGCCCTGCACGATCACATTCCACACCCCTCTTTAAAGGCCCCGAACAGCCCCCCCACGCCCCCCCTCTTGTCCACATGGTCGGCTCGGCTGCAGGCCCCACTCATCCTGCCTTTTGCAGATATCTTGGTATCCCAACGACGTCCCAGCCACAGAATATGGGCCTCTAAAGTCCCGACAAAGATTTCACGAAAACTTTTCACCAGCAAAAAAAAAAAAAATTCACAGATGTCATCTCTCATATTTTTCATGCGCAATCGAGTTGCACACACTCCTTCCCTCCGAATCCAGCCACCACACACACACAAAATATATTTAAAAAAATAGAAAATAAAAAAGAAAGGATTTTTTTTTCAAAAAAGTTCAAAAAACAAAAGGACGTTGCCGAGAGGAGGTGGGGGTAAGGAATCTACAGAATGATTATCCCTATCGGAATGTACCTGGATGCGTTTGTGGGAAAGTTCGCTATCACAGAGCACCTGAACACAATCAATCGAAAATCACTCGTAATTCAAGAATAGCCCCTTTCATAACGCACCTGGACGTATTCCAGTCCCGATGCATGGTCTTCACCAGGACATACCAGGACATGTGCTGCAGGGGCATTGAATCACAAGCTTCAATGGATAACTACTGTGATTCCCCAAATAGAATGTCACCGGTCATTATCACTAGACTGAAAGTTGCCCCCAATACAGGCATAATGACCCGACGTTCTATTCGGGGGAGGGGATGATTATTGTAGAATATATCAGGGAAGGAATCTGGACAAGAGAGGCATGAGGACAAGTTGCAAGTGCATCATCAAACCCCTTTTTTCGGTTTTTTTTTTTTTCTTTCCTTTTTGTTTCCTTTTTTTCCCCTTTCTTTCCCTTTTTTTCTTTCTGGGGAAATTTTCAATATGCCCCCAAAGGTCCAATTTATTTGCTCCGTGCCCCTCTGACGGCCGACTTACCCTGCCGCGCCCCTCTGACAAAGATTGAAGTGTCTGGAAAACCCCTGGTGTCGTTCGGCCCTGAAATATGTTCAATATGCCCCTACCCGTACCGGTACCGGTTCCTAATTTCAAGTATGCCCCCCCGTAGCTTCCCTCCCAGGGCCAGGGAACGGCAGCGAGTGCCACGAACTGCCACAGGGGCATGCAGGAAAGTTGCGCCCCTCACCGACAGGGTCCTGCAAGAAACTTCAAAGGCCCCAGGGGCGGCAGGGTAAGTCGGCCGTCGAAGGGGCACTCCGCACATAAATCGAACTTATCAAAACCGTTCCATTTCTTTATTCTTTTTCTTTTCTTTCTCTTTCGGGAAAAGACAAGCATTGCCTGTGTGTCATCTCTAGCCCTCTTGATGCGAAATTAGGGCACCCCCCCCTTTGTGTCCATAGGGTCATTACAGCTGTATTTGGGGCAACTTTCAGCCCCGATACAGAGATTAGGACCCTGTGTTCCATTCGGAGGAAGCTGGTCATGGACCTCTTTGCGGCCACTGGATCAAAAGATTCAAAACCTATGTACCTTTTTTTTCGCGCCGTGGGATTGATATGGGGTGTCTATTGTCATTGGACAACTGAAAGACACCCTAGATAATTCATCGATTTAAAAAAAAAAAAAAAAAAAAAAAAAAGATTATTAATCGAGAGATACATCCAGGGTATATATTTGGCCACAAGAAAAGGCGCTCGATTGATGCAGCGATTGTGGTGAAAGTCACACTCACTCCCTACCCTTCTTCCGGCGAATAGAACGTACAGTCAAGATGGCTGTATTTCAGCCAACATTCAGGCTAGATACAGCCGTAATGACCGTCCGTTTTGTTCTGTTCTATCTGGGAGAAGACGGTAGCCAGACATGAGAACGCTCTCACATGCACACAGAGAAAAATCGAAAAAAGAGAGAGTAGAAAAGGACTTTGGCCCACGGGATGCACACACACACACACACACACACACACACACAAACACAAACACACACACACAGAGACAGCCAACCGGGAGTAGAAAGGTCTTAGAGCCAAAGAGAGAATCACTGACGCACAGACACAAGCACACACAGGCGAATTCACACATCCACACAACACCAACGCGCTCACAAACACCTGCGTGCACGCAAAGGTCCTCGCTCCACTACACAATACTGTACACGCATTTGGTCGCGTTCTGGTCCAGGTGCATTCGGACGAGTCCAACACTTTGAATGCATCAGGTCCAGAAAGCGTCCAAATGTATGTAGAGTATTGTGTAGTAGAGCCGGGCCCACAGACGCACACAACCACACACACATGCACAAGAGTCTGCAGCTCCACGCACACACACACAGACACACACACACACACACACACAAGAGTCTGCGGCTCCTCACCTTCCATATCTCCGGAAGAGGTCTTCGAGGTCCCGACTTCGGGTTCGACTTGAGAGCCGACCAACATACACACGGGTCGCCCCGCTACTCCGATTGTCATGATAAGGCATATTGCCACCGCTACCTCTCTCTCTCTCTCTCTCTCTCTCTCTCTCTCT